TACGTTAAAAGGATGTTGTAGAAATCGTGGAGTAGATCTCTGTCATGCAGAGAATTTTCCTTATCTTAAACCACTGGATTTACCTGACCTCAGTTCCCCACATTCACGCCATGCCTGGTGTCTCCTCAGTGTTCAGCCAAATCAAGGTCAGGATAAAGAGGAGATTTGGTTGGAAGTAAGCTGGATATTCAGGCTCCTGCAGTAATACTCAATTATTGAATTCTCTCGAAGCACCAACTCCTATATAATGAAGTCCTCGGTTTTTAAATATCTTTAGAAATCAGGTGACTCAGGATTGGCAACAGCCAGCTTGCTGTTTCCTGCTTTCTTATAAAAATAAGATGGTAAAAATCCCAGGGAATTGGCTGGAGTTGTTAAAAGATAATCTTGAGCATTTTAATGCACATTATTTTTCATGCATCTTTGAGCCTTAAAAGCCTCCATGGAATAGGACAGGAATCAGATGGAAGAGAAAGCAGCTTGCCATCATCCTGCGGCCCTGAGACCCCAGCCAGACCCGGTGTCCCGTGCAGCCCTGGCGCTCGACTACACCTGCCCGAGCTGAGAGGCGCGTAGGAAGAGCTGTAGCTTTGATGCATTCTTCGCACTTAATTCTGAGTATAGTCAATCCCAAACAAAATAAAACAAAAAGGTTCATTTACATCAAGGTTCGTAGTGTGTGTTTTCTCGGACGTTTGGCATTATTTCAACGTCGAAAAGTATTTCTAATGCGCTGTAGCTCTTTTCTCCCTCTCTCTCTCCGCCCCTCACCCATCATGTAACGTGTCCCCATACCTGCAATGCTGTTTGTACCTCTCTGGTAACGAAATTTGGGTCAGCAGAATGTGTCGCTGGTGTTTCTCCTTGTTAACAGTATTGATTGCTGTCCTGTATGACCAGAGACCCTGGTTGACTGGGAAAGTGTTCACGACGTGGCCCTTCAGAGCTCTTATTCTGTGTGCGCATGCCCACCGGATTTACAACTCTGTCAGACCACCTTTTTATTTTTCTGCTGTGATTGACAGTGCCTTAACCAGTATCACTTGCCATGGACGGTCTTGGGTTGGATGTAGTAACATGTTTGACTAAGTGCTTTCTAGCATGAATCTAAACCAATCCTTGATTTAGAATAGCCAACTTCCCACTCCCAGGATATTTTACTGAGACTGTCTTGGTTATAAAGTTTTTCACTGGGTGTCTTAAAACAGTGAAAATGCTTATCTATAAATGTAGTAAAGTGTCTGTATATGTTGATCTTCCTTATTTTCTTGCCTCTCTCCTACTACCAGACTGTGGTGGTAGCCACATCCGCAAAATGTTTTATAGGGTATGGAGGGCAACATTTTAAGCATAGAAATGGAAAGCAGGATACCAAGCAAGAGGATGGGGGAGGGAGGGAGTCCATCAAAGCCATTTCTGTATATTAAGGATTCGTTGAGGAGAAAGGCCAAAGGCCAAGAGAGGCAAGTTTTCATTCATCACAGGCAGGTGTCACTAGGAAGGAACGGAAAACCCACTTGGTCCCAGAAGAGACGGATAGAAGTTCTCTGCCACGTGAATTCATAAAATTAGGAATCCATTAGTAGCCATTCTTAAGTGATACGTTGTGATGTTGAACTCTGTGAACGTACCGTTTCGTTTACCTGCAAATGATTTCAGTGCTCAGGAGGGAGAAGGGTCAGGACAGTAAGCAGAATGAATACCCACGCAGCCAGGTTCCGCACTGTGAAATACGGAGCCAGTTCAACTTAAAACAAACCTGGTGTTTTTTGTTTTTTGTTTTTTTTTTTTAAGATTTTATTTATTTATTTGAGAGAGAGAATGAGAGAAAGAGAGAGAGCATGAGAGGGGGTTGGGTCAGAGGGAGAAGCAGACTCCCTGCTGAGCAGAGAGCCCGATGCGGGACTCGATCCCGGGACTCCAGGATCATGACCTGAGCCGAAGGCAGTCGCTTAACCAACTGAGCCACCCAGGCGCCCAACCTGGTGGTTTTTAAAGATGCGTTTTCAGAGGGTGTAAATAACGCGTAATTGGGAAAGTGTTTTGCGGCCTTCTGAGGGCTCTGTTTGGAGAGGCGGCTGTTCCAAATGCAGGTGAGTGAATGTCCACGAGCCCACACTTACGCTGGTTTTTCTTCTGTTGCAGCACATCAGGTCCACCCATCTGGCCGGGCAGTACCTTCTTCAAGAGAAATGGAGCCCTTCTGCAAGGTAGGTCTCTAGGAGCGCCCCCTCCCCGCCCCCCCCGGCCCTGTGCCCTTGTGCTGGTAGCAGCCAGGGGAGCTCTGACCTCCTTAGGAGTGGGCACTGTCTGGAGAAGTGTGACTGCTGTGGGTTGGGGCTGTTTGTCCAGTTCTCTTTATTTCTTCCTACTCATGTCTCCTGGTTGCTGTGAATTGTTAGCCCGAAACCGGGACTCGTTCTCTGGCCTGCCCCAACTGGTCCTGTTTCAGAAGTATTCGGCTTGCTTTGGTGAAACTGGAATGGCGTGGCAGTCGGGATATGAGAGTAGCATGAACTGAGCTGGTCAGCTGGTGAAAACACCCCCCTTTAGGTATTCCCAGTGCTTGGGCAAATGAGGAATGTTTGGGGTGTTCTGGCATTTTGGTGAATGTGGTTCCCCTACTCCTTGCTGGCCCCTAAGGTTGGCATGTGCCTGGAGGGTTGGCTGTCGGGTGTCCCAGGGCTCAGAGTTCGGTCACCCCACTCCTGTCCCCACCAGCGTCCTTTGCAGGGGGACGACCTTCCCGCTGTCCGGCCCACCCTTTGCTGCTGTGCTGTCAGTCCTATCCCAAGTCCTCAAGGAATTCCAGCTGCCTGTCCATCTCTGCTGTGGCTATTAAGTGTCTTTTGAAATGACTGAATAAAGTGAAAGAAGAATAAATGGTTACAGGTAGCCTTAAGATGCCTCCTAGATACTTCTGGATTATCACTGCTTTGTAGGTCTGCTGTGCAGATAAGCTGGAATCGGTGGGCTCCTGAGGTTTCCAGTTTCCTGTCCCCATTAACCTCGATCAGCTGGGTGTCGGAGTGGCACAAAAGCAGATGGCTCTGGTGGTACCGAGAGCCTGAGGACTGCACTGGGCTTCTAGTGCGGAGTGGTCCGTGCATTTTGGTTGGTTTAGAGCCGGTAAGCCTCTTTTCCTGAAAAGTACATGCCGAGGACCAGCCAGGTGTGTGAAGGAGTGGAATATAAATGTGACTGAGAAAAGGGATATTTATCTTCAGGTTTCTTGTACCTCAAAGAGATGGCGTCACATTTCTGTTGTTGTTTTATAAGCCATGTGATTACATACTGTCTTTATAATAGCCTGTGAAATTGGCGACTGAAGGATTTCCTTGCCTGTTTGCTTGGGACAGGTGAAATTTAGGCAGGCAGGTTTGACTAATCCTCATTTTAATGACCATTATAGGTATCCTAAATATCTAAGGAAAAAAGGGAACTTCCTCCACTCTCAAAGATTAATACATAATTTTAAAAAATCCGTTCTCCCTTCAGATGGCAAATGGAAACCAATTATGATAAGCCTTGGGGAGTTTTTTCAAGTGAATTTCAAAGTTTTGTGCATATTTATTTTTCCTCTAGATCTATAACAATGATATGAATATCATTCGTGTTTGGATTATTTTCAGAAGAGGGATTTTATTTAGTGAGCACATTTTCTTACAGAATTTTCATTCATTAAGTTTCACATTAAGTAAGACTTGCTCTTAGGATATTAGTTTCTGGTTGTTTCTGCCGGACGCGAAAGCATGAAGAAAACATCAATAAGGTTCTGAAGTTGAGTGATTTCACCATGAGATTCTATCTCATAGGTATGGACCTTTTTTCTCTCTCTTGATAGGGTCTAAAATTCTAATTATTCTGAGCTCTGAGGATCACATTATTATAGATTTCAGATGCTTATTCAGTCCACATCCACTTCAGTGCAGCCCTCCTATTTTTTTTTAATTTTAATTTTAATTTTCTTGTACATGTGAAAATCAGAAGACTCTTGGTTGGAGTTTGAGAAGGCGGGCCAGGATTTGCTCATTTTTTCCTGCGATATTTCTTTGCTCTATATTTGCTATATCTGTATATAGAGTTCTCAAGACACTTTCATGGTGCTGAGATTTTTCAAACTCTGTGCCTATTCTCCCTAATTAATATTTTTGTGTTCCTTCGGTGGGTGGTACTGGTTCATCAAGAAGTTGCTAACGCCCATGAGCAAAAGTTTTACAATAAAAGTATAGGTATATAAAGAAGGGAGCTGCCCAGTCATGCCAGTGGACGGTTTGGGTTAGACTCAAGTAGAAGAAAAAGCACCTGATTTATACTCACTTTCTCGTCTTTACACTTTACATTTTCAAACTACGCGCATGTTCCTTCTTTTCCCCTGTAACAAGCAGGAGGGCATTGGTTCTAGGTAGTTAGGCTAGGAAAGAGCTCTGTTAGTAGGTCCCAGCCAGTCTTGGGACCGAAGGCAAACAGGATGCCCTGAAGAACCCGCTTCCTAGAGCAGGGGTAGAAGGTGGCCCAGAGGCCCGGGGACCGGTCGGCAAAGCCCAGCTGACTGTGGGCCCTCCTCCCGTGCACAGCCGGCTGACCTGGGGCTACAGCACGGGGGTCACTGGGGAGAACCCCCCTGTGTGGAGTGGCCCTGGGAGTTAAGACTAAAAAGAAGGTAGGCATGGCCGAAGCAGCAGATGGGTCACAGCGTTTGGAGGAGGGAGGCTGATTTTTGTCAGGAGGGTGGGAGAGTAGGGGCTGTCAATGAACCCTTGAACAAGGCCTTGAAAAACAGATTGTGGGCATGTGGAAACAGAACAGAGGGCATTGCGAGAAGGGGAAACGAGTCTGTAGGCAAGAGGGCGCACGGCGAGGGGGACGTTCTGTGGTGGTTGTGAACAAGGAATGATTCGTGGGCACGTTGGGATGGCGACAGCCCGTGTTCTCAGCAAGATATGCTTCAGAGCACTGTGATGTCCAGAGAGGACACGGTGGAAGTTAGACCCGGAAACCCATGGAACAGTAGGACTTAGTGGTTACCTAATGGGAACCTGTGTGTGTTGTCCAGTAGTCATTTGGTTTATTAGCTGTCGAGAAGAAGCATAGGAGTTTTTTTTTCCCCCCAGCATAAAACCAATTGCAAGAACTAACTGGAAGGAAGCACTCAGTCCTACTCGAGTGTGGCCTCTGTTTGGTTCTCGCAGAGTCACTGGCAAGAGGGCCTGCTGAGTCATCTAGCAGTTTTGAGGATAATGGGGTAAGATTTGGTTTAGATTACACCAGGCATGGGTACTTAACATAATGGGTCACTTCATCAATTCACAGTATTTATTTTAAATGCCATTTAAGCTGCTAGAGACAATTTTAGGATGTTAGCGGTTTCAGGGACCAGAGAGTACTTCGGTTCTCGTACAATGGACACCTTGTCGTGTGCCAGAAAGGGACAAACCCTTTGTTTAAAGGGGACCCAGGACGGGTCCAAACAGATGAGCGTGGCTTATTCGGAGCCCTGCAGGAGTGGCCAGCTGACAGGTGTCTTCAGCTGTCCCCTGCTCATGTCTGTGTGTCCCTGTTTTGGTCTCTCTGTGTTTGAGGTACATTTTTTATTTTATTATTAATAATGTCTCTCTCTCACTCTCTCTTTTTAATGAGAGAGTAAAGCGTTTTATATATATTTTTTCTTTTCCAAACGCCCTAGCACCTCTCTCCCCCCCCCCCACCCACACTTACACGCACACATTCCATTCACCCATCAAACTTAAAATTGGGTTACTTTATTTAAACATCACCCTTGGAAGGGTTACTTTAATGAGTCAGTGATTCCTAATTAAAGACATTCTTCGCCCCTGGTCTGACACTTCATCCGGTCCCAGGAGGTTTCATCCCAGCGCTACGTAGCGCCTTGCTGTGCTTTTCGCTTCCTGCCTTCTACTCAGAGTTCCTACAAGCCGCTGTCATCTTGGCTTCCGCTTCCGCCCTTTCGGCCTTCGCTGGGCCCGTCGCCCTCAGAACTCCCGTGCGGTTGTGTTCAGAGGGAAGCCTTTGCCTCTAGTGCTCTGTGCCAACTGCCCGTTTGGGCCCACCTGTCTCTTACCTCTAGCCCTTCCTCGGAGCAGGTGCTCCCCGGGCCCACCCCCACTACCCCACCTGCAAGCACTTCTCTCTTACCCATCTCTGTGTCAGCCACCGGATTGGGCTGGAGTTACCCAGGGGGGCCCAGGGCCCGCCCCCTCAGCCCCTTACAGCCCATTCTGGGGTCTGACTGCACATCCCAGCCTTTGTGGTAGAGCTGCTTGGGCACGGATGCTGCCACCCGCCAGGCCCCCTTGCTAACACCCTGCCAGCCTTCTGGACCCTCCCTCCGCCTTCCTTCTCTCCAGGACAGCGCCACTAATTACTAGTAAATCTGTTTCCTTATGATGCAGTGGTGGAATTAAAATAAATTCCATAACACGCATAACAGATTTTTATTTCCATTCTCTTCTCACAACCCACTGGATGAGCTAATGAAATGGAAAGAAGACCTCCAAGGCACTTTCAGGGCACAGAGCAGGACTGTGCTGACTGTGCTGCAGGCCCACAGGCAGACAGGGAAAAAGGAAACCAGCTCTTTTGCTGTCAGATGCACGCTGTTCCTAGGAGTGCATAGATGCGCGCTTGCCATTGGTCAAACACCGATGAGGTTGACCGTGACCATTGGACGACTCGCTTTGGGGAATGCCAGTTGCCCAAGTTCCAGGTTGGCTTTAGATGCTCCCTTTCCTGGGAGTTTATGTCCACAGCCCTGACCCTTTGCCACGGCTCTGCTATGCGTTTTTACTGTTCAAATGTATGCTGTACCTCACTTTGGCAGTATTTCCTGCCCCGAAAGGCTCAAGAGCAAGTATTCAGTGTATCAGAAACAAGTTCTAGGGGGAGAAGCACTGGATGACGAGCAAGGGGGCCTAGTTGTGGTCCCAGTGCTGCCACTGGGTAAACTTTGTGACCTTGAGCAAGCCACAGGGCATCCTGAGTTTTTCCTGTTCTTACATGTGAAGTAAGGCGGCGGCAGCGGATTCCCATGGAGCACCAGCTCTGCTCCATTCTGGCAACTTTGTTTCCTAAAAGCGGCTCAAAATGGATTTGAGGCTTAGCTCTAGCCCCGTAGAAAGAGTGCTACCTTCAACCAGCTGTGTCTGCAGATGGGTCCAAGAAGAGGAAACAGGGTCGTGGCAGCCTGGCTGAAGATTCCAGTCCTTGAACAAGACAACTCTGGAAGGTCGCATGGATCTTAGGGAGGCAGTACATTATAAATTTGGACAGCCTGGCAATGAACCAGTGAGCCCTGTCTTAGATTCTGGGGCAACTGGCTTAAACCTCTCTGTGGGGATGATGATGATGATGATGATAATAATAATAATAATACTTGTCTCATGGGGCTCTTGTGAGGATTCAAGAAATTCATATCAGTAAGGCATTTAGAAGATGCTAAATTCCTAGTGAGAGTTAGTTATTAGAACATCTTACAAAACTCTGGAAAAATAGGAAAATAGAGCTGAAATCCTCTGAATGTGATTGATTTCCCTGTGCTCTTTACCTTCCTTGCTAAAATTTCCCTTGTCCATTTGCTAGTGTTAGTGATTTTCAGAACAGGGCCAAAGACGGGACACCCCAGATCCTGTTGGATGTATACATAGATCTGAAAGATTTGTTCATCCCTTTATCTCCGATTCCTTTCAGATAGGACTGCTTCCTTGAGAGGTCACCCAGTTCACAAACATGGAGCTATCCCCCTCGCTCTAAAATTGCATATACACAGCGGGAGCATAGACAGCCACACGAGAGGGCATGGATTTAGCACCACATCAGCCTGGGTTTGAAGCCCTCCCTCCCTGGGCACCAGCTGTTTGACCTTGGGCCTCAGTTTTGATTGTCTCTACAGTGGGGCTACCAGAATCTTTGTGGAGTTTAAGGGAGCACAAGAATGTACAAACATAAGCCCAGTCCAGTGTCTGGCACCTCACAAATGCTCTATCAGAACAAAGATTTATTAACTTTCGACTGTTTCATTCCCAGGGTTTCTGATCATTAATCCTGGCAGATAGATTCAAGGTGAAAAGTTCCAAAACACCTCAAAGGACCGGCCTCCTGATCACCTCTCCTTTGCTCTTGATTTCCCTTCTCACTGCCAGCCCACAGTTGTTTCGTTCTCTCTGGAACCAGGATGGCGCTGCTGGACCCCATCTTTGCCGTGGCCGCAGGGCCCTGGGCCCTGGCCCTTCTGTACTTCTCTCCAGAAAGACCGTGGCTCGGATCTCGGGACTTGTTTGGCTTTGCCTTGACCCTCCCCCACTCATTTCTTTCACATTTGATTGTAGCCCCTGGGCTCTTTGGCTCCTTTCATCTAATCTGCTCCACAAGCTGACTCTTTTGTCCATTTTGCAAAGGAGGGCATCTCCCTAATGCATAAACCTCCTGATTCTTGTCCCCCAGGCACACCCGTTTCAAAAAAATGTAGTAATAACGGAAAGGTGGGGGGAGGAAAACCTCCCTACATTTTCCCCCAAGTCCTAATTGCCTTCTGTCCTCTTTTGGCCTGTGGAGCCCTTTGGTTTTTAGGAGGGGCCCCTTTCTCTTGGCATCATTTGTCTTATTGTTCTGCACTGAGTTACGTATAAGGATATTTACGTAACCACAATCATAAAGTCAGGTGAATTTAAAGGCGTGCTGGTCACCTCTCTAATCACTAATGTTCTATGTGGTCACTGAGAACATACTCTTAAACTAGTTAAATATAAGGAAATGCTAAAAAAAAAAAAAACCACACACACATGGAAATGCAATTATAAAAGAAGGCTTTGGTCAATTTTGACTGTCACTGTCTCTTGGGAATCCAAATTTACCCCATCTATAGTTAACCCCAACTTCCCCAGTGTCTCCAGCGGGGCGTGGAACCTGAGAAAACATCAGTCCCGTAGCCTGGATTTTCCTTTCTGGCTCACACGTCAGCGGGTCTGTCTCCGATCATCTCTAGGAACCATTTTCATGAAAATCTGGTGTTGCACCCTGAGAAAATGGTACCCTGTGGGCGGAAATAGGGAAGTGAGAAGGAGTTGCCGGTCTGATGGGGGACATGGCATTGAGAGCTTCTTCTGGGTCAGGCACCTGCTGGGCAGGGTCTGTGGGTTGCCCCTCCTGTTTCTGGGTAGTGCCGCTAGGAGGGGAGACAGGCTGGAGTTCAGGAGAAAGGAGGTCAAGGCTGGAAGGGGAGTGTTGGAAGTTGTTAATCCAGAAATGGCCACTGCAAATGATGCAGATGAGATTTTCATGGGGGCAGAGAATGAAAAAGAGGGGAAAGATCCATGTTGAAAAATGTAGATTTATGATAGAAAGTGGTGGGAGCTGATAACAGCAACAGTAACAGCAGAGAAGAGCCCAGTTGGAAACTGGGGAAAATCACTGAAGTGAAGGGCAAAGAGTTTCAGAAAGAGGGGAGGGTGGGAGCACCCACTGGCACAGAGAAGCCAGGGAGGATGGAATTGAGCAAGAGCCATCTGTGGGCTCTAATGGTTATAGGGGCACAAGGGCACATAGCCACTAGTCTACTTTCTGTCTTTATGGATCTGCCTGTTCAGGACATTTTTTATAAGTGGAATCATATAACATATGACCTTTTGTGTCTGGCCGTATATATTCTTTTTCTCTCTTTCTTTCTTTCTTTTTTTTAAAGGGGGGAGGGGCAGAGGGAGAGAATCTCCAGCAGACTCCCTGCTGAGCGCAGAGCCTGACGCGGCTTGATCCCACAACCCTGAGATCACGACCTGAGCCAAAACCAAGAGTTGGACACTCGACCGACTGAGCCACCCAGGCACCCCAATATTTTACATTATTTTTATATTAGCCTTATACGTTAGGTATTATTACTCCCCTTTTGTAGATGGGAAAAATAAGTCCCAAACAAATTTCCTGCTTCGGGTCACAGATCCAGGGTCATAAGCCTGGACTCAAACTAACTGATCTTCGGTTCAGCAGGGCCTAAGTACTTTTTGAAGTGTTCCACTTGAGATGTTTGCCCGTTCTGCAGTGTTTTGCAGACTGGGGCTGGGGAGAATCCTGTCATAATGGTCAAAAGCAGTTTATAATGACAAGACAGAAAGATGGAAATGAATACTTACATTGTCTTCTTTCATTCAAGTAATCAAGGTGCTTCATTTCTCTTTTGCTCCCCACGCAGGACTATTGTAAACAGCTAAATATTAAGATATTTTAAAGACTGTAGATAGAGAAAAGGGGAGATCCTCAAATTAGTCATTCAAAGATTAATGCAATGAGAGGAACCCACACCTCCACAGAATGAATATTTTGAGTGTGTATGGATTTTATAGTCATAGAGAGAGATATAGCTATTTTTATACCAATTATAATTCTTCAATAGAAATATATCCTTACAGTTTTAATTTTTGAACATTAAAAATGTTTCCCTTATCTATTAAATTGTATCAGATTATAAAATGCATAAAGATGATACAATTTTGGATCACATTGTACTGTAGGGCCTGCTTTTATCAAAGTGCTCAATCTTAAAAATACAATTGGAAAAGTCGTTCTCCTTGAAGTTCTATTTAACTCTGTGGGGAGAGAAGTCTAGAAATATTTTTATGCAATTGCCAAGAGGCTCGCAATGAAGAATTTTTTAGAATATACTCATGGAGCTGTTCACATTACAGTTTCAGAAGTGTACTTAAATGCATCTGTCTACCTGTGAGCTGCAAGAGGTCACGTTTGTGTTTTTGTTTGGTTCCCTGGACGACCAGGGCGTGGCTGAGAACCCCTGGTGTAGTGCTCACTGTGGAGCCGTGCTAGATGAGGAGTGTATGTGTGCGTGTGTGTGCACGCACGCGGATGTGGCCCAGGCACTCAGGCTTGCTCCCACCCCGTACTGAGTCTGCAAGAACAAATTTCTCCTGCCTCATCCCCCTGCCCTTCTTCTCTCTGGTGATTGCACCCCACCCAGTTCTCCCGTTGGCCTTTGTAAACGATGGCATGAGGATAAAAGACCTCAGTTTTCAAATCAGGTGTACCTGGATCCATCCCCTTGCCTGGCTGCCTAATTGCCGTCTGACCTTGGAAAAGTTACATGAACCATTTGCCAAATGCAAAAACGCCAGTCCTGCGAGATCAGTATCTTTGTGGGGACTAGCTGATGCCAGTCTGTGTAGCGTCCCTGGCACTTTGCAGGAGCTCCATGTGCAGGCCCCATCACCGATGCTTTCCCTCCAGGGGAGGCAGCGTGCCTGGGAGGGAAGAGTGGAGACCTTGGAGGTGGCCAGTCGTGGGTCCACCAGCTGTGTGACCTCAAGCAACTCCTCAGATGCATCTGAGCTCTTCCTTCCCAGCCAGTCAAAGAGATAGCAGTGTTGCATGAGGTTTTGTAAGAATTACAAGATAGTGTACATCCAGGGGCTGGCAATTATTGAGTGTTTAATAAATAGAATTCATTATGCTTATGATAGCATTTCTGCCATTTCCTAAGGGTTTCAATACCTTCCACCCGCAAATAACAATACCATAAAAAAAAAATCCTTCCCCAGTTGATGGGAACTTATACCTTCAGGAGTCTTTAAGACTGTTTCCAGTGTGTCTGAAGCTACCTGCTACATGAAGGCAAATGCCCACGAGATTACCTGATCCCAGCAGGAGCAGGAGAACTGGAGTTCTTACCGGCTGTTCTCACTGACACTTTGTAGTGACTAAGATCTTTTTTTTTTTTAAAGACTTTATTTATTTGACAGAGAGAGACACAGCAAGAGAGGGAACACAAGCAGGGGGAGTGGGAGAAGCAGGCTTCCCGTGGAGGAGGGAGCAGGGAGCCCGATGTGGGGCTGGAGCCCGATGGGGGGCCCAATCCCAGGACCCCGGGATCATGACCTGAGCCAAAGGCAGACGCTTAACTGACTCAGCCACCCAGGTCTGCCCGGAGTGACTAAGATCTCGCAGAAATGTGACACACAGAAAGAAGAAGGTTCCTTGGGGATGGGTTAGAATGGCTTGTGATCTGTACCCATGTTTCTTTCTCTCAGTATCTCTGTGCCAGAATACGAACTATTTGCAAAGCTGCATTTCAGAGATGGGAGGGAGAGAAAGAAAGGAGAGAGATACAGTGATCAAGAACTTTAGACAGTCATTTAAAAGCTCACATTGAACTTGTCCCCCACTTCATGGTCACCCTAGCACACATGAGTTGGCCCCTTTTTGGGCTGTGATTTTTCTTTTTTTTTAATGGGGCTTATTTCGGATGATCTCATGCTGCTAATTTGACACAGATGGCATTGAAGTGTTAGAACTACATGTCTGTGCATAGAGCCGCGCTAACCTAGTGTCTTGGCCATGAGTTCATTTCCCACACTGTGAGCATGATGGTGAACACACCGTGACACGAGGTGAGAAGCCTGTGACATGTAGAAAGGCCACTTCTGTTTATCATTTGTGTGTGTACTATATTTCTCGGATTCTAAGAGGCTTCATTCATTGAGCTTTGCCATGGTTGTGAAGTGAAACAATTACGAAAGAAGTTTTCACTTTTAAACTTGCGCAGCTATCGTAAGCCCAAATGGGGGTGGTTTGTGAGACCCACTGGTTTTCCCCTACCCCAGCTTCCAGTACAAATTGCAAATGGGGAAGTGCCAACTTCCTATAGGAGCTCCCTGGCCTCAGCAGTTAGTTGAGAGATGGGCGTGTAACCCAATCCAGGGCAGGCACGTCTTACCTTGGATCTGGGGGCTCTGAAGGATGTGCTGGATTCAACAAGGGGTACTGTGTGGAGTCAACCACTGTTGCCAAGAAATGGCACCAAGGCAAAGAAGCAGAGATGAGGGGCCACTCTACCACTGTCCTTCCTGTGGTGGTTGGATTACATAAGCTCTAAATTCCCCATTTTACTTGACCCAACTTGATTTTTGGGGGGTGGGGCTGTACACCCAAGAGTCCTTGACTAATAAAGAATCTCTAAGTGAATAGCCTCAGTTAAACTAAATGTATGTCACTGATGATTTCTGTGTGCCAGTAAAATTCCAACTCTCCATTGGTCTAGGAGACCCACTTAGTAATTTGGCTGTCAAATGAAAGAATATAAGATGAGCGTAGAGAGCTTTTCTGAGATGATGACTTAACAAAGTAGGATCGTGGTAGTAATAATACTTAGTCTCTCTTTTCCCCAACTCAGCTTAGTCTCTGGTGGAAATAAGCTTGGAGAAGCTCACCTTGGGTTTACAAGGTGGCTGCCACAGCCTCTTGTACTGCAGACCTCAGCTTGGAGTCTAGCATTTCCTGGGTGTCCTCAGGAAAAGTTCTGGGCAGCATTGTAATTAGACCAGCCTGGATCACATGACCACTGGGAACCATCACTGTGACCAGAGGAATTGGTGGGGAGGGGCACAGATTGTTTTATGCTGGGGGTGGAAACATCACTTCAAAGCACATGGATGGCTTGGGAGATGAAATGTTCTCCAGATGCAAGTCTGGATCAGTTCCCAAAGAAGGGAAGAACTGTCATTACAACAGCACAGCCATTTTATTTAAAAAGCAAAGCACTGGAGGGATGCCTGGCTGGCTCAGTTGGTAGAGTGTGTGACTCTTGATCTCAGGGTTGTAAGTTTGAGCCCCACATTGGGTGTAGAGATTATTTAAAAATAAAATCTGTTAAAATTTTTTTAAAAAGAAGCACAGGACACAAAAATGTGAGGTTACATATGCAAGTATATGTAGCCACTAAGTGGAAGATCTAAGGCCAGAATGCAGATCTTCCCATTTGAGACTCTTCTAGCTTTCTTTTAATGATAATGGCCATTAGCCATGGGTGTACAGGATTATCAAGATCTCAGGGCATAAGGTGGTGTCATTCAAGTTAAAGTAATTTCCCAGAGGCCCAGAATCTTAGTTAATGATGACATTCACTTTTTCTGGCAGACTGGGGATTGCTAAAAGGTATTGCCTTAACTAGACTTGCTGCCTGTTGATAAGGGAAAGATGGAAGATGGGATACAGCTGCCCTTTACTGGGGATTAACCTTGGGCAACGAACCTCCGTATCTTCATGAACTGCCCTTCACAGCCAGAGTTGGTCCCCAGAGCCCTATCTTTAGAGTACAAGATGCTTGGACAGTTGGTGAATGTATTAATCAGCTAGAGCTGCCATAACAAAATACCACAGGCTGGGTGACTAAAACAACAGAAATTTATTTGCTCACAGTTCTGGAGACTAGAAGTCCAAGATCAAGGGGGCAGCAGGTTTGATCTCCCCTGGTCATCTCTTCTTGGCTTGCAGATGGCCGCCTGCTCACTGTGTCCTCGCATGGCCTATTCTGTGTGCATGCGCTTCACCTGGTCTCTTTCTCTTCTTATAAGTTCACCAGCCCTATTAGATGAAGGCCCTATTATGGTCATATTGCATTAGAGCCCCACCCTTATGTCCTCATTTAACCTTATCCAAACTCAGCCACATTGAGGGTTAAGGTTTCAACAGAGGAATTGGGGGGGTGGGGGAGGACGCAGTTCAGTCCAGCTCAGTTCAGTGAATTACATGTAAACATTTCACAAACATCCCTTCATTTCCCACAGTGTGCTTAGGTTGATAGAGGCTGGGGATAGAGATAAGTAGATTTTCCAGCCTCAAGGAGTTTGCGGTCTAGCTCGGGGGCAGAATCACCCAGAAGCCTTGGTGGTTTGTGCCGTCTCCAAAGAGCTCAGACTCTGGGGGAAGGAAGTCAGGAGTTCAGGGAAGACTTCACGGAGGGGTGTTTGCTAGTGCCAGGTGAGGCTGCCATCCCAGCATCTCCTAAATCTGTTTGACATGGTCAGCCATGCATTTCTCAATCAGTGTCACTCCAGGCCCCAATACAAAAGGGGCACCATGATATTGCAGCCATGGCCAAAAGACTCACAAGCTCACAAAATAGTGACGCCCACAACCAAAGGCACGGGTCCTAAGTGCACAAGACAGTATGTTGGTGTGTGACATTGATGTGTTCACAAAGGAGAAATGTGATAAGCCAGGATAGAGATGGAAAGTCACCCTGTCCTTATTCCTTACAGGAAAGAGGATGGGAAGGTGAAAGAAAAGCATTCTGGGCAGAATGGTGGGGAGATTCTGATAAAGGTAGTGGCGAGTGCCTTTGACCTTGAGGACTTGCGGGAGATGGCACCATTTCAGACTTGCACTGAAATTAGACCTATAAGCAAGGGTAAAGAACTAAGAGCCGCTTGGGGCGCCTGGGTGCTCAGTCATAAAGCATCTGCCTTCGGCTCTGGTCATGATCTCAGCATCTTGGGATCGTGCCCCGCGTCGGGCTCCCGTCGGCGGGAAGCCTGGTTCTCCCTCTCCCACGTCCCCTGCTTGTGTTCCTGCTCTCGCTGGGTCTCTCTCTCTGTTAAATAAATAAATAAAATCTTAAAAAAAAAAAAAAGTAAGAGCTCTACATAAACATGGGCGGGAAAACTGCTGCTGGGTGGCCGCTTTGGCGTCACGGGACCGACATCACGTGATCACCACGGACCATGGTCCTCTCCATGTGCGTTGTTATGGGCACAGCTGGAGCCAGAGCTGGGAGGCCATCAGAGCAGCTGTACTAACCCCACGAGAGGAGAGCGGAGAGCAAATCATTTGGGGGTAGAGGTAGAAGTGGGGGGCCAGAGGTGGGGGTCCAAGGGTGGGGCGGCTGGGCAGACTGAGGGGTGTTAGAGCCCCCAGATCACCGCAGTCTGGGGCGTCTTTGCATTTCTGTCATTACCCAGGCTACTTACGAAAAGCAGTAATAATCACATCGTAAATCAGTATAGTTTGAAGAGTAGTTGAGTAATGAAAATCCAGTTCAGGACCAGAGATGGAGCCTCTTCAGGCTCACTTGCTAGTTCCCAACTTAATTTTTTTAAAATTAAGATAGTGCTAATGCAGAGACTCAAAATTGTGCACAATCCAAAATGTAGTGAGGGTGAGGGGGAAAGATAAGATGCTAAATGAAAGAATGAGTTCTGTTTCTGAAACTGTCACAACCGAGTGAGTGTTCATGGGGGTTGGGGACTGGGGTTCAGGGGGTGATATAGTTCTCTATATAAGGCCGTCTAACTATAAATGGCATTTTCGAACATGTGAGTCAATGAATTTAGAGGAAAATGAGGTTTCCTAAAATAGCAGTTGTGGAACATACACAACTGAGTTTGGCATGGGAGGGACCTGGCTTTGGATCTGACCCTGACAATCCCTCATACCACCCCTCTCCTGCCCATACATGGAACTACATATTCCCTTACACGTATACATATATGCCTCTTGGCTTGGTCAAATACTCGACTTTGAACTTCTGTTTCTTCATCTGTAAAATCGGGAGGATACCACCTCCCTTCCACAAAGGAAATGAAATAATGTGCAAGCCTATGTGTGCCTAGTGACTCCAGTGGTGATCACCTTGGTTCAGGGTTGCCCCCTGCCAGAGTTTGCAGGGATGTGCAAGGAAAACTCAAGGTTGTGGTTATCTTTGGGGTATAAGGTGGTGACTGGAGAGGTTGGAAGGGAGGCTCCTGTTTGCCAGTTTGTTCATCTGGGTGCTGGTTACATGGGCAAATGGTTTGTGAGAATTCATTGAGCTGGACATGTATGTGGGCTTTGCTAGGTATATTACTTTGGTCAAAAGTTTCAAAAATGGGCAACGAAAATGTCATTACACCTACTTGATTTCAGATTTTCATTATGCACATGCAGTGAACTTCAGAATTCTTACATAATTAAAGATGAGATTGTCATAGATTTTTATTAAATCAATGTAGTAAATTAAAGCTGGTGAAACAAAATAAGAATTTCTCTCACAATTCAAGCGTGTTTTATTAAGGCCTGCTGGACCTGCTTGTTATTGATATTGTTAATACAATATTTAGATTCTATTTTGAACATGCCAGCTGGTGGAGATTACTGAAATGTCAGTCTTTCCTGAGAGTGGGTTTGTTGTTGTTTTTTAAGCTATTTAGAACCAGAGAGTTAGGTTCTTAAATGTAGGTCAAGATGAATTTATGTGTCTAAGTGAAATTAGGGGAAAAAATGAAAACTCTAGCAAAAACTTTGAGAGAAGTTCTTTGCCAGAACACATAGGAGAACTCGTACAAACCTGAAATTTTTTTATCTAAACAAACGTGGTTTTCCATTCCATCATCTTGATGAATAAATGTGTTGGTGAAGTAATTGGTTTAGAAATCATTATTAAAACCTTGAAACTTTGTAGCAAGCATTTCTCTAGTGAAGAAAACAATGTGTTTGAAAACTTGAGATTTAAAAACAAGCAGGCCAGGATGGGGAATGGGCAAAATGGGTAAAGTTTGTCAAAAGGTACAGACTTCCAGGTATAAAATAAATTAAGTCCTGGGGATGTAATATACAGCATGGTGACTAGAATTAACACTACGGAATTGCATATTTGAGCCGATAGGAGAGTAGATCTTAAAAGTTCTCACCCCAGAAGCAAAAACAACCTGTTACTACACATGGATGTTAACTAGACTTACTGTGGTGGTCATTTTGCATTGTGTAAAAATATCAAATCATTATGTTGTACACCTGAAAATAATATAGTTATGTCAGTCGTATCTCAGTAAAAGTAAAAATAAAAAATAAGATGAGAATAAGCAGGCCAGTTACAATGAGATTTGTCACTTCCAGAGGAATATGGAATAACCAGGATCTTTTTCAACTGAAAACACATATAATCATGCTTGTACCTTGAAGGCTGACCAGAAGGGTATCCTTCCTCTGCAGCGTTTGTTGAAATGATTGAAGTGTTGTTCAGGAAAGCCTGTCAGATCTCTGAACCATTTGTTATCTTCAGTTAAGCTGTAGGGCCCCACATATCAGTCCCTTGTAAATACTGTCTGCATGGTTAATGCTGCCTCTTAAATTTTCAGATCTCTTAAGAATGTGTTGTAATTAAAAAAAAAAAAAAAGTGTAGCATCATTTTTACATTAGTACTCAGACCTGGATTTTGCTTTCAGAGTGTCCCCAAGCCTAAGGCTGTGCGTGACACTGCCATAGTTCAGGGACAGAGAGAATCTCAGATATATCTGTGTTTGCTTTCCCAAAAGAGTTAAGACAATATTACGATGCATTTTCTTTTTGTAGTTAAGGGTAGGTACCCACCTGTTCTGATTTTGACGAGTTACACTGTTGAATACGCAGTAGAGTCTACACACGGAAATGTTTCTGAAGGCCTTTGTTTCCTTCCGAAGTCTGTCCAGACCAGGCTGGGAGGTATCCATAGCATGGCCTGTATTCAACCCTCCATCGGCCCTTCCAGTATTTTCATCTCCGAGATGGGACAAGAAAGTACATGCCCTGGTTTGGGGGTCACATCGCGGCTCAAAATCGAATTGTGGGAGTTCCTCCTGCAGGTGTCTCTTACATGTCTTAGCGTGATTTCTAATTTGTCCACACCCTCCCTTCACATCTCATAAAAAAGTATTTGCTTAATGTTTTTCCTTAGAACAGGGTAATTTACATAGTGTTTCCTGTGTGTTCAGGATCGTTATTTTGGTGAGAGCAACGGAGTGCCACCCATCCCATCCTGGTCTCCAGTTTGTATGTGGTGCGGACATAGATGCGGGGACCAGCTCGAGTCCCGAGATTTCAGAGCTGGGGCTCTCTCAGACACCTAGCTAGGCACAGCCACCACAAACAGACTGGTAAACCTGGCCCAGAGAGCCAGGCCTGGCTCTGGGCCACAGGGCAAACTGGTGGCTCAGCCAACCCCTCTGCAGGCCAGTCCAGCTCTCCTGTTCTGCCGTCCTTTCAAATCAGATCAACTCCCCTTCTCTTCTGGGTCTGCCAGAGATACAGAAAGGGAGAAAAGAAACCCCAAACTGTGTGTCTCATCATCAAAATCAGTAAGGTAAGGCTGGATTACTTCTTTCTCATCGTGCTGGCATCAGCCCTGGTCTGGAATCCCAGCTTCTTTCTCACTAGCAGCACTGTCTCAGATCTCAGTTTCTCTGTCTGCGAAATGGGAAGGTAGGACCCCCGCCTTGTGCTGGGTCACAGGGAAGATTTACATGGGATCGCCTCAGTGCCTGGTATACAGTAAGCACTCCATAATTAGAAACTACCACGCAACCGCTTGGTAGCTCTGACTCTTCTTGGGCTCCTTCTGAGAAATGGCACGCCACAGCCAGCCCCGGGTTTGAACTGAGCACACTGCTCATATGACTGGTCCAGAGTCTGACTGAGGCTGACCCCAACCCACATTACATAAGCGAGAAAACGAAGGGCAGATGCTGGAAGGGTAATCGTAGTTATTTTGAGCTGTGGAATTAGGGGTCATTTTTTATTCACAGCATATTGGCTACGGTAAGGTGGTATTGGTTACACAAATTAAAATATATAAAGGAATAAAAAGAATTCTACAGCTGCTAGTTTATGCTCATTAGGTTATTGTTCATGGTTAGTTTCCATCTTCAAAGATCAAGCAACGTTTGCAAAAATGTAAAATGGCAGAATTTTTTTTGCCATTTAAGGCGTTCTGCGCTACTTAAACACTAGACAGTGGGGAAGCATTAGATCGCACCCCTCATGGTGCCCAGTGTGTGCACCTGAGAGTTCTTACATTTTAAATAAATATGATCCATATCTTTAGATTGTTTTGTGGAAGGAATAACATCTAATGGCAATGACAGAAGCCCTCAGCTTTCAGGCCCCGTTGGCCGCGCACACGAGGCCCAGGTCAAAGCCACATGCACCCAGGCAGTGCCAGCTGGGAGCTCTTTGGCAGGTCCCCCACCCTCCTGATGCAGATGGACTGAGCTACGGCTCAGAAGGAGAGGGAACCGCTCTGTATGTTAACAGTACACGGCGAAGCACAGAGGGTCTTTGCTGCAGCCCGGAGCTCTGGTCCAGGCTGTCAAAGCGCACCCCCCACCCCCGGATTCCTGGCCACCTCAGGAATGGTCCTGGCTCTGTGCCCAAGAGAACAGATTCCCCTCACAGATATGGAAAAGCATTTCAGTTGGCAGATAAAGATCTTTTTGATCACATTTGGGAACGGGTAGTGTTTGGGTAGTTAGTTTGGTTCAAAGTATAGGGTTATGTGGGGACATAGTGTACAGGCTGTTTGGAGTACCCAGAACTTTTAAAAGAACTTTCAAAAAAAAACATGATTACAT